GTAAACCTTTCACAAAACCCAAATTTACACTGCATGCAAATATCTGTACAAGAACTCAACAATATTCAGAACTCAGTAGACCCCCTATCCTACTACCATTCATCAGTTTGGTAGTTTACTGAAATTTTGAAGGTGCCTTCTAATAGAGCACATTTGAAACACCTTATTTCTTATCCATAATAAACAATAAATTTTTTGAACTTCGTGGGCCCTGTTTCATAATTAAATACAAACTAATACTATTAGTGTTGTAGCTTGTAATTTGTAAAATTTTGTATCATAATAAAAAAGTACAAAAGTACAACATACAAGGGGGGCGTCGGTGGCCGCAACGGTTTAGGCATTGGCACGGCGCTCATCACTGTAAGGTAAAGGTCCCGGGTTCGAATCCAGCAGCCCTGCATTCGAACCCAACATACTTACAAATGAGCTTTTTTTTCAAAAACACCGGCACCCCGAGGGTTGATATAACCTCTGCTGCTGCGAACCCTTGTTAAAAAAACAAAAAACATACAAGTCGTGAAGTTGAAAATTGAAAGTACAAGAAAACTGTTTAAAATACAAGGAATTCCGTTTCATATTATTTTTTCTATTAATACAAATCTCTGATCACCTGTATTGTCAAAATATTAATGCTATCTTCCAAAGGTAAGATTACTTTTCCTCCTGCACTTCTTTACAATGCTAGATTTACTTTTCAGTAATGTTGATGAACAAATTACTGACTGCGTGGTTCAATAAGATGTTACTGGACATGGAAAAATCAACAGAAAATGGATCAATTTATACTTATCAAGTGTTTTTAAATTCAAAGAATCGTTCCGAATTTGTACAAGGTCGAGTCACTACTATTGGAGATAGGACCACTAATATAAACCCTTGCTGCACTTTCAGCAAAACACTCTACATTGCATTGCACTGGCAGAAAGTGGTAGCAAATTCCACACATTAGGTGACAGGCAGGCAAGATATAAGTAGTATTATCATTTGAGCATGTGGTGAATACAGTTAATACTCATTTATTTCACTCAATTTGTTACATGGCTAGAAAACATTACCACTATTATAAATCTGATATAGCTTATTTTCTTCACATGTGTGATGATGATGTGCCAGATGAAAAAGAAGTGTAGATTGGCATAGAAAGTATTCAATAAATTGTTTGTTGGTTGGTTTCCTTCTCTAACCGAATAGCTGACTGGTACTTTTGTAGTTTTTTGCTTGTTTAATTTCAGTTATAGCATTTGTGAGGCCTCCTCCATTTTGAAACAGAAAATGCATTGTATGTCAAATGTATTGTTGTTTTTTATTGGTAGTTCATGAGCTTGTATTTAAGTAATACTATTAGTAGAATTACAAAATAGGACCAAAATGTATATACCGTGCAAGTATTGTCAATTATAATGTACATACCAGCAGTTTTTTCTTGGTTTGATACAATTAAGCCTGATTTATCACTGGTATGCCAGCTGACGGGCTTACTGGCATTAGCTGTTTACACGATGCTAGTAATCAGCCTGCAACTTGAGGTACACTTTTCGACTAGTGCCAGCTACTGGCAATTAACTGGTAGTACTTATTTACATTGTGCAGGTAGTAGTCGAAACAGCTGAAGCTGTCCTCGACAGGGTACCTTTTATCATGACAACATTGTGTGCACATAGACAAGTGCTAAGAAAATCTATCCATCTGGTTTCTTTAGTTGTGTGAAGAACTTTTACAGGAATTGCTAAGATAAATGAGTCAAAAAAGGAAAACCATTCCTGTACGAGGTTGTGTACGTAATAAAGAGATGGGAGCATCCGAACAAAAAAACAGAAAGCATTTTAACAATACTTTGTTACTTTACAGATAGATAGAGAGGGGGGGAGAGAAAAAGAAGATAATTTGTGGTTCAATGAGGCAATAATCAAACTCAACAAGATTGGACCTGTTGCGTTTACATAATGCAAAAGCAGCAAGGTGCCAATCTAAAAAAGTGGTTGAGGAGTGTCAGCAAATCAAACATTTTAGCTTCACAAACAAGGTGTTTATTCTTATTAATTATTTATCTAAATTAGTTTTTCAATTCAACATAGAGAAGGCTGTGATGAAAAATTAGTGTCAAGAGCGGGACTCATCAGTTTCTACCACTTGAGCTATCACGACTTCAGCCCTCAAGTCACATCTCAACCAGCTACTTTATAATTTTTCCCTCGTTTTACGCTAATGGCACAAACAAGAACTTATTGTTAGCTAACAACAAACAAGATGTTTACTGGCATATTTACTGGCAACGTGTAAATCAGGGTTAATAATATATTCGCGTTATAAGACCAATTTGAAAAAAAGGACTTTTTTGAACTTCCATGGAAGTGAGCGAACCAAACAACCTGTTGCCATGCCTTGGTTCTTTACTGTAAAAAATTATTTACATGCACACGAGGTTTTGTGAATGTGTGTGTGTGTGTGTGTGCAGTTGATGAATAAATGGAAAAATCTACTGTTACCGTGTGATTAGAAACGAAAAATGAAAGAACCAATTTGTTTTTAATTCCGTTAATAGGTCAAGTGAAAAGCCTATCAGCACAGTGTAAACCACTCAAAAGTTTAGTACGTTTGATTATCTTCAAATAAAATGAAAAAAATGTGTGTTTAATATTTTTCATGGTGATTTAAAAATTGAATTATTTCGCATGATGAAAACATGTTTTTTAAATTATTATTATTATATTAAAAATAGTAGGACTGTGGCTGAGCTGATTGATTGAATCGACGTTGAAAGGATCGGGAAAAGGAAAACCGATCCGGGTGGGCGAGCGGCCCTTCTCGACTCCCGTTTTCAAAATTTGAGCAAAACCGTCAAATTCGTTGTTTAAAATTTGGTCGTTGGATAAAAAGTCCAAATTTGACCCGGTGAAAATTGTTAATGGATCTACCAAAAAACGGGGTTGAACAGTCCCGGGCCGAGGCGGCGTACTTGGGCCGATATTAAAAAAGTTTAAAGTCAATAATTGGCGCAATGGGTTTAGGACCGTCTAACCTAGTTACAAGGCCGATAAAATACTGATATCTGTGTCAATACGGTTTAATAGCTTGACACCCGGCCGTTGACAACAATACGTACTTACAAATTAAATATCCTCTGTACAACTGGTGCTGAAAAACATTTATTGTCAGACCCGCCCGGTGAAATGAGTAGCTATCCAGAAGTCTAGACTCACGTTGACTGACAACTCATTCCAATATGGCGGTGCCTACCGGACAAGCGACCACTAATCGAAAGTGGCATCGATGACCGTTCAACAACCAATTTGACAGAAGGGCTGCAATTAAAATTTAAAAAATCTTCAACAGAGACTGGACGTAATTTACAAACGAATCGTAAAACAATATTTAAAATAGAAAAGTTTTACCGAAATAACCGGCAAACCGGTCTTGAAATTTGCCAATTTCCGGCGAGGGGCATGCGATCCCTCCACCAGAGAATCACTTTCACAAATACAGTTATTTCTTTATAATTAGCTTATTTTCACAAATACCAAAATCAATTAGCAATGAGATTTTACTATTGTTTTCACTTTTATATAAACCGCTATTTGACAAATTCTTTGTTAAAATTGTACCATGATCTTCGTAAAGCTCTGCTTTTCATCAAGCTATAGTCCAGCATTATCATGAATTGATATAAAGCAGTCCCTAATAAACAGAGCAAATGGAACCACAGCTTCCAGGTCTTCTTCAATGTACTTTAGTGGAGTCAAAGATCCATTACCCATGGTATCAGTTCGGGCATGCAAATTGATTCTAGCTCATACCAAACTCTCTTTGGCTGTTTCTCCCATGGCGCATGAAGCAAAGCGTTCTCCACGTCTCCTTCACACGACCGGTCATCTGATTGCCACAAGCCAAACTGACACTCACCTGGGAAAAGAACACCCCCCCCCATTGTTCAAGCAAGATGCTGATTTGCGAATAGTAGAGAACCTTTTGCAGGATATCTACCGACTAGGCATTTATCACCAAGCCTTCTGATGACTGTTTTAGACAGAGCTCACCCTTTCATTAAAGATCTATTATATTAAGCTAGTTTACTAGCCTGCAAATTCACGAAAACCTGTGAGAAATTTAAAGTCATCTCATAGTTTGCCATCACCAGGATCAAGTCCAAGAGAGCAATCCAGTCTGTTGAGTAGTGGAGTTGGAATGAAATACCAGCCACACACTGTTGAACCAGTGGTGGCTTGGCTAAGGTGCAACATACAGTCTGCATGTTGTCCATCACCAGTGCCTTTGCCTAGGCTTGGCAAGGCTCGACCATAAATTCAACTTGATATATGCAAGCTTTCGTCTACTGCTACATTGGTGAGGGTATGGAAAAAGATGAGTTCTCTGAAGCCAGAGAAGGATTAAGACGCCAACTCGTACTTTGCCAAAGGAGATGGCTAGGGTGCTGAAGATTACTAAAAGGATACAAATTAAATTATTTTAACATTTATATTTTTCTGTTTACACAGAGTGTGCGTGGTGATTAGTTATTAGCCTAGCTCTTATTAGCCAAGATACTTTTTATAGGTGGTCTTAATTGAAATTGATCATAGTTGTTAATGAACCAGCTGCGATACCCAGTGGTTCTGATTTCAGTGTCTACAAAATAACAAATCTAGTTTGTGCGGAAGTTGTTACTTTATCTCATGCTATTAAAAAGACATTAAAAAGAGTAGTTGTAAAAAGTAGAAATTGAGGCAAAGAAAAGTATGGGTAAAAAAACCATGTATATAAAATATGGGAATAATGGTGCATCGAGCAATGGTCTTTGTATTTTATATTCTATATCACTGCTGGTAGACATTAAGAAATTCTACAATATGTTCCACTTCATTTTTTAACACCCAGATAAAGTCAACAAATGAAAAACACAACTGTCTCTGAAAATATTTCGAAGGGATGTCCTCAGGGATTTTCTAGGAGGAAATAAAGGAATTTCCAACTTTCTCGTTGGAAGTCTTCCACCTGCTACCCACCTGTTGCAAAAGAGAAATTAATTTTTTGAAAACATATGCTTTTAAACAAAATTCTCTTAGTTAAGAAATCTTATCCTCTTTTCAGTGTCGTAGTGTCTTTTGGCCATTTCTAAAATAAATTTATGTAATGGAAACAATGGAAGAAATGGAGGAAGCTCCTCCGAACGAGTCAAGCGCAAAAGAGGAGGAAAAGCCGTCCATCTATCTCCACCATTATGGTGTGGCTGATGTTCCTTCCAACGAAGGCTTCGACGTCGATCCTGTCGCATTCGAGGAATGCCATTGCGAATATGTCAAACCCGAGTGTATACATCCTGTCGAGTTTATAGAGGAACACACACTCGCAATAATTAAACCGAGTGCACAGCCCAAAGCTGCTGAAATCATAAGGAGGATTGAACAAGAAGGATTCACCGTCCTAGCGGTAATTCAGGCCTAATCAATAGTTTTGTGCACTATGCTAACATTAAACTACAAACTTATAACAATATGTACACAATCAAACTCGCTTTAAATTGTAAAAGTTTAGATATTTCAGAAAAACACAGATGTTGTTACATCTTAAGAAATATGGCGCTAAAGACTGTGAATTCAAAATTTGCAATATTTCTCATAAAATTGCTGTAGATAGCAATACATTTGCTTAAAAAGTCTTTAATTAGTTCTTTTTGACTCATTTTGCTAATTTGGTAGAATTTATTAATGAAATTGGAATTTAGCCATGGATAGAGGCATGCAAAAACATTCATCAAAAGACCACTGCAGACACTAACAGTAGAAGTACTAAATCTAGGATGTGTTAGAACTAGAATTATAGATGGACTGCTGATTGGACACTGCAGACTCCAGAATGAGAGACTTGCCATGGCAGAAAAAAAGCTTGTGCATATTTTTATGAAGAAGAGTCAGTGGAATGAACATGTCCCCTGGTAGTCCGAAGGCTTTTGTAGGCTAATATTCGTACTCTGGGAGAGCTTGTGCCTGAACGATATACACGGGACTCTTAGAAAATGCTTTGGAGTCTGGTAAAAAGCTTTAGACAATGAGGAGCTCTACACAACAGTGAAGAAGCACAATAGACCAATATTGGTCATGATGTGCAAGTCGTAAATAAGCAGACTCCTTTTCTAATCTAATCTGTACTGTTTGTTGCCATGGGAGAAAGTACTGTCTACAAAAAGTTTTATGTGCAAGACCAGGAGCATTCTGGCTCAAAATGAAAATTGGCAGAAAACATTTTCCACAAAAATATTTGGAGCTCTTAAGACTTCTTTTTCTCCCCAATTTAAATATTTACATAATTTGCTTAATGAGTAGTGCTTGAGAGTGTATGTATACAGGCTCAAAACCAAACCATCCATGACTAGATATTACAATTTATCCTCAGCATACCTTACATTATGCAACTATTTAAAACATTTCAAATTAATAAAGTATTAAATAATAACATTTCTTGAAGATTAGAACTGATCGACAGTGATTATTTTACTGAGCGTATCTATGCGTATTCTTGCTGGTATACATTTCACTCGTAGGGCCTTTCGGCTTCATTCCATCTTCAGTGAGGAACTGTACACAAATGACATAAAGCCAAAACATGTGTGATAGAAACCAGCAAGAATACATACCCAGTAAAGTAACTAGTGTACATCAGTTAAACAATGCACAACAAACAAAAATCTATAATTGTTATTGTCTTTTCTTACCTTCATTACCTAAATTTCTTTGTTTTCTTGACAATCCCCTCCTTCCAAGTCTTCATTGAGAGGTTGATTCATTCAGCATATTTCACTTCTGACGACCATTTTGCAAATTTATTTTTTCTCTTTGACTTTGGTGTTCTTTAAAGTAAATTCTTTCCACACTTTTTAAAATGTTTCTCATTACTTTGTTTCTTATGGCGAGTTTCTTTTCATCTGTCACCTCTGAGCCCTGTAAGCCATGCATCACACTTTTCTAAAATTTCCAATACTGTTAGAACCCAATTATTTATTCCTTCTTAGCTTAAAATAATTTTATGTAATTTCTTTCTCATTTTCCAATTTGGAATTTGTATTGATATTTCCCTATTTAATTTAAGTACATCTTAAATATAATTTTGTCTTTATAATTATTAATTATAATTGCATAAATATACAAAAGTTATATTTAAATTGCGCTATTTCCTCTTGAGGCCTGTGGGGGTGACGTATGTCATTTTCTGTCATATCTGCAGAATTGCAGCTTCTCGCTATCTTCAATGGTTGTCAGGGAATAAGCAAGGCAAGCCATAGACACAAATCCACCACTGTAGATGCCAAACTCTGATAAACCAAAACAGCAAATACATGCAGATTAAAATATATAATCAGAAACTGAACAAATGTAATTTATTAACTTTTATTCCAACATTGTTTAAACAATACAAAACTTACAATGAAAATGTGTTTATTAATCTAACTATGCTTGTTAACTACAACACACTATTTTAACATTATGAAATGATATATAAATATCATTAATCAATTTGTATACTAATAATTTTTTTCATAAATTGCTCAAAATATGCCATGGTACATATCAGCTAATTAAAGTGCACGATTTAAATTTTAGAAAAGGAAATTCCATCTCTTTCCTGAGCAAGCAACTCATTTTTACAAGCGATACTATGGGAAAGTATGGTTTCCGAAAGTCATGTTGAAACTGAGTTCGGGGCCCATGACCATCATGATTTTAGCGAAAGAAAATGCTGTCAATGATTTTAAAAAGCTTACTGGCCCGAGGAAAGTATCAGTGGCGAGGAAATTCGCGCCCCATTGCTTGAGGTCGATGTATGGACTGAGAGGTGACGAAGCCACCAATGGTATACACGCAAGCGAGTCGGTCGAAGACGCCAGGAAGGAAATATTATACTTCTTCCAAAATGGTAAATACATTCACTGTAATTGGATAGTTTCAATAAAACGATATTTTCAGCTGTGCCGGAACCTTTGAGGAACATTGAAGAAAATATGACAATAGTTTTTGACAAGTACTATTCATTTTTGCTTGACGGATTGACTGAAATATGTAAAGTTAGGCCGTACAACCCATCAATCTGGTTTGTCAATTGGCTCACATCTAGAGATCCTGAAAGGCCACTGATTGCCATGCCGCCTCTGCCATCTGCATCAGATATTGAGGAACAAAGACTTGAAGCTTATAAAAAAATGCAAATATATTAAAAAAAAGTCTTAAATTTCGTAAATTTTTAACAGATTATACCAATTAAATATTATAGATCTGCTAAAGCTGCAATGCATGTCCATTTGAATCATCAGATATCTAAATAAAAAAAGAATAAATTGTGAATTGTATTACAAAGCTCAACTAACACAGCAACAGAGAATTTGTGGAGACTAGAAAATATTAGAAATGTAATTAAAATAAATAGTTTATTTAGTACAATCTTGCACTAACTTACAAAAAAGAAAAAAATATCACAATTAAAATTTTAACATAATTATGTACATGCCCTAAAAACAAATTTACAGGTAATTGTTTATATTAAATTAATTGTTTAAAAAAAATAAAAAAAGCATCCCAACCTTACTCTTTACTTGAGTAAGAATCGATAAAATAATTCCAATATTTAACATTTTTAACGTTTAAAATCTTTTTGATGTGTTCTAAACAATTGATGGACAGGAGTTTATTTCTTGGTCGCCAATTTGATACCACTCTGGCGACAAGTGTTAAGTTATGTTTTTTTAGAAGACTCAAGGCTTCAACAGTTGCATCACATACGAGCATGCCTAAAAAAAACAAAAGAAAAAAATATATAATACAGCGCCTGTATATGTATAGTTAAATAATCTTACTTGAAGATTCTTTCAGAACTGCGTCAAATAATTCGATCACTTTAATAACAAAGTATGCTGACTCTAGATGTGGGAATCCTCTACAAATTTTACCTAGGGAAAAATAATTCTTGTTTAATTAAACCTAAAGGAAAACAGAAGAAGAAAAATTGCCTATTTACCAGTATTTACAAGTATTTGAGCAAGAAGTTCTTCGTTTTTTCTTTCTCTTAATTCCTCTTGTATTAATGGAAATACCTTTCTTTCAATCATTGCCGAAGCCCATTTGAATCCCTGGCATTTGCAAATGAGTATAAGCGCCAAGTCATTGCCTTTAAAAGGACACCAATTAACTTAGTACTTATAATAAATATCTTTTAAAAAAATAAGAACCTTTGATTTGGATGTTCTCGAGGATTTTGGCAAACAGTTCATCATATTCATATAAAACGTTAACACTGTAGCCTAATTTGTTTTTTAACATCATTTTCAATGGGCCTATTCCAAATTTTTTTATTATGTGATCATGAATTTGCCAAAATGTCGGGATTTTTATTAACAACAAAATGATTGTGTGGGTCAGAAGACATTCTAAAATAATTTGAAAACATTATGATTGAAATTTAAAATTATTATTATTATTTTTTACCTTTAGTATTTTGATAATTTGGTAACATTTTTGGCCACACTAAAAGCATTTTGCTTACAATTGCATATGCCTTGATACTTCTAGTGTATAGCACATCGTATAGGAAAGCCCTAGCCCTTGAAACGAAGCCATACTTTTTGCAAATCAGAGTATAAATATGGACTTGAGACACCAATACTTCTACCTAAAGCAAAACCAATGAAATGAAATGAGTTCAGAATTAAAATAAAAAATGATAAAATATTTTACTTGAGTGTTTTTTTCTGAATGAAATGAGGACACTTCGTTTTCAATTCTAGATAGGAATATGTCAAGAAATTCATTTTTATTCTGTGAGATGGTGATAATGAGCATCAATAATTTCTTTTGCAATTGGGTCAAATCAAAAGATTTTTTATTATTTGCATCTTCTTTAATGTCTACATCATTTAATAAAAATTCAGACATAAACCTAAAAAAAATTTAAAAAAATAAATGTTAATTTTTTTTAAATAAAAACAAAATTGTCCTTGATTACAATACATACTGTGCAAGCTGAGAATTGGCTTTACTTTGTAATTCTGAAGACACACTTTCTAAGATTACATAACTGTTTTCAGCATTTATGTAGTCATTTAGGGTATTTTTAAGCTTAGCTAACACTTCTGAAACATTAACACAAATAGCATCAGTTTAAAAATATCAGCACTTCAAAACATTCTTTTATTTTTACCTTTCCTATGGAAAATTTGTTTTGTTTTTGGAGGATTTTTTTTATTGAGTGCCTTTTCACACCAATATTTTAATGCGCCGTGAAGAGCATTTCCTTTACAAATAATGGTTTCATCTGTTGGTATCAAGCATACCTTTTTTGTCGGTGGATCTTCAGTGAGAGTATCCAATTTTCGTTTTAAACTAGCTGATGCTTGCTGGAGGTTTATATCTTGTTCTTTATCTTTAAGGTTTGGTGGATTTGCAGGTTCTTCCAAGCTGGAATAAAAACCTGTGGGAAGGGTGAGAATTAAATCTGTTTTTTCCTCGCCATTTTCCTCTTGTGGCGGTTTGATGGTTGCAGTTTGAACATCTTCCTGATCCTTGCTGATCATCATCTCACCATCTGACTCTGAATCATAGGAAGATTTGGATAAATTGTCATTTTCCTCTGTAGTATTGTTTATGATGCTTTCATCCTGGTTTATTGACTGGCCGAGGCTGAAATTGTTATATCTAGACATAATAGAAAACACAGACGGGATGCTGTAGACTGAAATTTTTCCATTTTGCTTTTTAATTTCTTTGTTTGGAGATGGCTGTTTAGATTCGCTTTCGTTTACTAATTTGTTTGCAATTTGATTCAGAGTGGTTTTATTATTGGGAAATCCATTTTGAAGTGCTTTTTCAATAATGGGTAATTTTTCTGTATCTTTATTTTCAAGATTGACTCCATTGCATTCTAAGATTGGTTTATTCTCTTGTATGTTCTTATTCAATTTCAAATTAGCTGTTGATGAAGAAACAATTTAAGTAATGTACAAATATTTTAGTATTGTTTAGTAGGTATTGAAAAAAAAATAAAAAATAATCTTACCCAAAGGTGAATAGTTGATTGGTTCTAACAAATCGACAAGCTTATAATTTTCCCTTATATCTTTCAATACAAACTCAAATTCAGCTTTTTCAACGGATCCTGTTTAAAAATAGATATAAAGGAAGTGGCAAGATAATACATAAAGTATAACATATATAGAATACGTAAAAAAATATGTTATTTGTTTTTAGTTATCCCATAGGTTTTTCCTCAAAACTTTAGTAATATACTATTAATATTGATTCATCATTAAAATATTTTGTCAAAACTGTTACTACACATGTTAAACAGTTTTTATTGTTTATAAAATTGCTTTAAACAAAAATTGAACTTTGGATTTAATTTTTTTCATATTTCACGATTTAGAGTTAATAATTGGGAGTGTGAAATATTGTCTTTCCAAGGATAAGATGTGCTTTCCAAGGTATAATTTCATATGAAATTTCTTTGTACTAATAGTTGCTCTTAAGTTTTTCATAATACAATTGAAAATAAAAAATATGGTGATTTTTACTTAAAGTAATTAATAATTTTTAACTTGAACTTTTTAAAATAGTAATTAGTATAATTATGTAAGTTTATATTTTTAGGAAAAAACATACCACTATCAGTTTTGATAATTTGATCATCATTCTTTCCAACAAGGTTTTCCGGTGAAACTGTATCATTTTCCAAATCTTGCGGGTCGTTCATAATGTTGCTTGCATCACAGGTAGGCTGTTTTTCCAATTCTGAACTCAGAGAAAGAGTGCTAGCCAGCGGTTCAACGCTAATGTTCATAATGGGATGATCTGAAATTTGCTTGAAATTATTATAGTACTGGGGATTTAAAAAAATAAATAAAATAATAATAAAAACCTCCAAGATTGAAACAGTAACAAAATTAGTCGTATTTAAACAAACAGAACGAAAAAATGTTTNGTACTTTGGCATAATGCATGCTGTAAATCTAAAATGTGAAATTTAATTATTAAAAAAAAAAATACATACCTATCACATTTTGTATTACTTTATCATTTTTTCTTCTCAACAGATTTGTGGTTTCAGAATCCTGTAGAGACTCAATACCATTTTGGTTTTCTTTTTGTGAGTTTGTATTACTCATAGGCTGTTTTTTTAATTCCGGGCTTAAAGAATAACTAGCTGGACTTTCAGGTCTAATGTTTAAGCTATTATTTTCTGAAAGTATTACCACAAATTGAATAAGAATCAATGATGATTTTCAATACATACAAGTAAGTTACTAGATATGTAGTTAATAATGTAATGTAAATTGTAAAGAGATGTATATGTATATTATGGCCATGTCTTGTCATGATTGAATAATACGTACTCATGGCATTTTTGATTAATCTATCACTTTTCCTTCGTTTTACATTTCCCTGAGAACTTTCATCAGTTTCAGAATCTTGTTGGTTGTCAATATTACTTTTATTTCCTATATTGCACCTAGACTCTTTTTCCAACTCCAAAGGTGACATAGCGTAAGTTGGAGTGTTCCCATTAATGTTTTCATTATGATGATTTTCTGAAATTATTACAATAGGTAAAACTCTGTAGTGGCAAAGATAATAAAATTTAAGAACTATGATGTTATTTAGTAAATTAAAGTAATATTTATAATAATTAAATGTTTGTATTTGTCTAACAAGTCTTTGGTTGTAAATATTAATATTTAATACATACCCTTCACGTTTTTCTTTAACCTGTCACTTTTCCTCGGATTTACATTTAACTGGGTGATTTTTCTTGAATGTTGTTGAATATCAATATTATTTTTATTATTATGCATAAGCACTTTTTTCAATTCTGGAGAGGTAGAACTAGTTGGAGTACTTACTGGTACTCCATTTACACTATGACGAGTTTCTGAAATTATTACTTCATTAAGTCCCAGCATTGACAATGAAAATGATTTAGAGTAATGTAAGTAGATATTATGTAAGGTTTTTTCGGATAAAAAATTAAAGTGTTAATAGTATTATAAAAGTATTAGTACCTAATTCATTGATTAAAATTTAATGTTATAATAAATAAAAATAATATTAAAATTTCATTTGTACATTAAATAAGGTTTTTATTACTACTTATTTATGAGCAATAGCCCATTTTATTACATGAAAGATAAGGAACATTTAAAACATGAAAACACTGAAATATTAAACAGTGGCAATAATAAAAAAAATTAACAAGAGTATAATTTAAATACCAATATTTGGGTTTGACTAATAAATTTTGGATTGGGATTAATATAGACTCAAATCCGCACGTGTATGTACATACATGCAAACATTTGCCGAGTTGAGTTTAGCTTCCCGTAGTCCCCCAGCAATTCCAGCATTTGCTACAGCAAATTGCCAGCAGTCTCAAAAATGACCCATTCAGGTGTTGGCAGATCGTAAGGGGGGGGGGGAGGTCAACAACTAGCAGCTAGATCAATTCAGCACCCAACGCATGCAGTTCCAAACCCATCCATACTCACGTACATTCTTAAATACATTATCTATATATATCTATTAAATACCATTTGTCCAATTAGTGTGATGGAGTACACAATATTCTTCCATCACCCTTTACACATATTATAAAGAATAGAAAGAAAGTCATTGATAAGGAAAGAGAAAAACAGAACTGGATTTATAGAAGATGATTATTATTATAAGAATACGTTTTAAAAGATGTATTGGAAACCATAGGAGTATAATATTACTAAAGGCAAATTCTTTGTTTTACATGTAATACACTGTGATCAACCAAGTCAAAGACCTATGTAAATAGCATCAACTTGCGATTTTGATTTAAAGACAGAATTGTTGGAAAAATAAGGAGATTGGTAACAGTAGATCTGCCTTTGAGAAGGCCATGTTTTTCATCAGAAATTAGAAGACAAATAGAAAGAGAAAGTTCGTCTAAAACAAGAGAGTCAAAAAGCTTACTGATTGTACGTTGAACAAATATAGGGCAAGTTTCTAACGCTGGCTCACTCTCTGGATTCATATATAAAGAAAAAATATCACTGGTCTTTAAACATTTGGGAAATTTTCCTTTATGGAGAGAAAAATTAAATAGAGCAGGGGAGTGAACACAATATTTAAGGATAAATAGAGGAATCATGTCAGGTCCAGGAACTTTATCAGACTTAAGGTTGATTAATTTTTTTAGAATTGCATCGAAATAATGTTCACTGATGAGATATTTAGAAATTTGCTAGAGTTAAAGTTGGCCTGTTTTTTAACTGAATTAGTTTGATTTTTAGCATAAACTTCACAAAAATATTTACAAAACCTATTAGAAATTTCTATTATATCATCAGATACTGATACACTGTTTAGATGCATTTTATTAGGTAGAGCATTATTTTGCGTTAGTGAGTTTTTATAGTTCCAAAAATATTTGATATTATGTTTTGAATTTAAAGTGAAGAGTCGTTTTCTCATTAATTAGAGATCAGAGTTATTTAGAACACCAGATTGGGAATGTAGATTTGGTATATACTTTAATTCTAGGAGTATATAAATTTATGTTGCTTACACAATTTTTTGAATAAAAATATTAAAAGAACTATCAACACTATTACACTTAACCAACAACATTGAATGCCACATAGGATTGCCATTAATATCACAATTTTTATAGACAAAAATGTCAAATAATTGGTATAGAGTCTGTATTGAAGCTAAATTGAATCTGTTTCCAAGAGGAGGTGATTATCTTCAAACGGCAGTGCAGAATCATTCACAAAATGCATTGTACATTCAGGACTCGATAAAAAAAACAAAAAACAGGTACAATAGATTACCATTAGAATATGTCACAGCATTTACTTGATGGAGTCCAATAAATGAAAAAGTATTGAGAATACTGGATTACAAGCGTTAGCATGTTGCCACTGTATTTCAGGAAGGTTGAAGTCACCAAAGATGAGAATATTGCTGAAGGTAGAATATTTGCAAGTGTTGAACTGATATTCATGTATTTTTGCAAATTTGGAGTATATAAATGACACTGATAAGTTAGTGATTTGCTCTTACCATGACAAAGTATGATTTTCAATATCGTGTTGTGAAAGGGTCAGTTCAAACGATTTGATGCTGTTTTGAATCAGCCACCTGAGCACTTTTGGCTCTATCTTTAAGGTAAACCAAGATTGTTATTGCTTGTTTTCTGATAGATTATAATCCAAGTGACAGATCCATGATTTATATCATTTTAACTTGGTTCTCAACCCATTAACGTTAGAGTAAGGAACGATTCAATTTATTTAATAGTTATTAAGAAATCGTGAGGGTCTGGTGTGATGTAGGGTTCAACATTTTCTTTATCGTGCCGACGTTTCAATCTTTATTGAGATCATCGTCAGGGCCTGGGATTTACGAACATTGTTTACATTTAACAAATACATTTAGGATGTGGAAAAGTGAATTTATACAATGCAAAATATATTTTTATATTCAATCAAAGTATTTCTACTCACTCAAAGTGTTTGTCTTCTGTGTAATTGTGCCATTCTCACATGTCATGTTGAGAGTGCCAGTGAGATTTTGCTGTTTTATGTTTATATAAGTTGGATTTATTACATACAGAACAAAACAAACATAAACGTAATTTCTTAGAAATGGTTTATATCTCACGATTTCTGAATAATTATCGATTAACGGTCACTAATCACCACACTTATTTAATAGTTTTTTTCTAAGTACCTTTGTAATATTTCTGAGTGGTATAGTTCTTACAATCAGTGGATGGCCTCTTATGTATTTTATTGACTTTGAGAGGTCAAATTTTGTTATTGATTGGCTCACCAAGACGTGCGTTAAGAAAATTTGAGACCACATCCTCTTATCCAATCCATAGGTGTCCTTTCTTCGATATCCGTTCCAAGTGGATCCAATATATTGAAGAACAGTAAATTGTTCTTCCTATATTAATTACGATCCTCTAGCTTGTAAATGACGTTTTTTGATTCAGTAGATAGTTGTTCTCGCAAATACAGCTGTTTCTCTGTTTCCGTAAGCTTTAAATTTGAGATCCAAGATGAGAGATTTTAATATCTTTTAATCCTACATTACAGTCTCGACAGAGAAATTTTAAGGAGCTTTTGTTGACTATTGTTATGACTATTACTTCTTATTTGCTCTCTTTTTTAACAATTATTTATTTGTTTATTAATATTTTTAATAAAAGATAGCTCTCTACATGAAATCTTGTTGAGAATGAGAAAGTTGGTTTCAAAAACATTCTAAATAAATTGTTTAAAAAACCAAACAATTGGTTGTTAAAAAAGTTCAACACGTCATTTCCTATCATAACATTAGTTCTTATTAATTCATATTTGCTAAGTGGTCATATTGAATATTCCAATTAATTATTCTTTTTATCTAAGGGTTTTTGTTGAGTTGAAAAATAAGTGTTATGAGTGGGACTTGAACCTACAACCTTCGGCTCTTTGATTAGTTTAGTTAGTTCGGCATTAGTTCTTATGTTAACTTTAAAATTAGGAAAATTAATTTAATGATTGAATGATACATACCCATCACATTTTTTATTACTCTATCACTGTTCTTTTGGTTTAAATTTCCCTGAGAAATGTCTTCAGTTTCAGATAACTGTTGATTGGTTTTTATTTTACACAAAGGCTGTTTTTTCAGTTCCAGGCATCGAGAGGGACTGCCAGATGGAGCATCTCTAATTGTTATGCTATGATTTTCTGAAATATGTTTACATTTAATATTAAAGCCCATAAAAGCCTTATTGGCATAATAAGTCAAATGGAGGGTGCAACTGTTTTCAATAAATTAAATTAAGATTTTTTTAATATTAAATAGTTTATTCTCAAACTGTCTGTAAATCTATGAAATTAACCTTCATGATACATACCTATCACATTATTTATTACTCTATCAATTTTCTTTTGCTTTATATTTTCCCGAGACGTTTCATCTATTTCAGAATCCTGTTGATTGTTAATATTATTTTTTCTCGTATTGTACTTAGGCTGTTTTTTCAGTTCTGGACTGGAAGTGCTAACTGGAGTTTCAGATCCACAGTTTTCTGAAATTTATTTGCAATTATTTCTACTGAAAAAATGGGTTTATTGGCAGAAAATATATGGCTAGATTAAATAAAGAAATATTCACACAACATATAAGTCAAACTAGTCCATCACAGTCTAAAGAAATTAACAATTTTTAATTTGTATCTTATTGACTCATGCTTTTTGGTCTGTGAGATTTCGTCTTTGGACTTGCAAGGTGGAGAAACTATTGGTCATTTTGGTTTGTCCATGCAGTTTTGGTCTGTTAGGTGAGTTTTGGCTCTTTGCCACCTTTAGTGTTGTGTCTCAAGAGGAAATCTAACAACTTATTTGGAAATTTGTGTTGGTAATGTTTGAAAAAGCTACATTAATCCTGTTGTTAAAGGCAGGCTCTATTTTGTAAAAATATACCTTTTTTTCACAAAAAAGCCAATATCATATTTTTCTAAATTGGACACTCAAATAGATTGAATAATATGTTGACAATCGTAAATTTAAAACTATACATACTGTTTTCATTTGTGATGTTTTTCCTTCCCATTTGATTTTCCCGTGGAATTTCATTTACATTCTCTGTACCCAGTTTGAAGTCAATATATTTTGTTTGGCCATCACACATATATTGCTTTTTCAGTTCTGAACTTGAAGGAAAAGAGGTAGGTTTAGTTGCTGTGCTGATGTTTGTTCTTTTGCAATTTTCTGAAATTTGTTTGCAATTATTTCTAGTGAAAAAAATGGGTTTATTGGCAGAAAATATATGGCTAGATTAAATAAAGAAATATTCAGACAGCACATAAGTCAAACTAGTCCATCATAGTCTAAAGAAATTAACAATTTTTAATTTGTATCTTATTGACTCATACTTTATGGTCTGTGAAATTTCGTCTTTGGACTCGCAAGGTGGAGAAACTATTGGTCATTTTGGTATGTCCATGCAGTTTTGGTCTGTTAGGTGAGTTTTGGCTTTTGCCACCTTTAGTGTTGTGTCTCAAGAGGAAATCTAACAACTTTAAAGGCAGGCTCTATTTTGTAAAAATGTACCTTTTTTTCACAAAAAGGCCAACATCATATTTTTCTAAATTGAACACTCAAATAGATTGAATAATATGTTGGCAATTGTAAATTTAAAAACTATACATACTGCTTTCATTTATGATGTTTTTCCTTCCCATTTGATTTTCCTGTGGAATTTCATTTACATTCTCTGTACCCAGTTTGAAGTCAATATATTTTGTTTGGCCATCACACATATATTGCTTTTTCAGTTTTGAACTTGAAGGAAAAGAGGTAGGTTTAGTTGCAGTGCTGATGTTTTTACTTGTGCAATCTTCTGAAATTGGTTTGAAATTAATATAAAACTAAAACCATGAGAAAACAATTGATGCTATTAACTGTTGTCTAAGCAATTAAAGTGTTACCTTTTATTGAGTTTATGTTCTCACTAGTAGATTTTTCCTTTGTATTATTTGTTTGGATGTGAGGAACTCTGGTTGAATGCTTGTCACCATCGAATCTATCATAATTCAAAAAAGTTTTCTTTTTTTGCGTCAGGTGCAATGCTTCAGGTGTCTCTTTTTCTTCTTGCTGCAATTCTCCTGTCCTCAAGTGTGACCATGTCCCATTTGAATTAGGACTCACAAATGAGACTGTTGCTTTTGGAAAGATTATCGCATCTGTTATTCCTACATCTTTTTCAGACGGGCCCGCAAAACATTTTAAACGTTCTTCAAACAATGAAGTCTGTTTTGTGTCTAACGAACTTAAAAATAAATTGTCACTGTTGATACCAGCTTTAACACAAGGGTATGAACTGATTTTGTCACAGATGCTTGTTAAATTATTAAGAAGTTCATCTAAAGAGGAGACTCTTGAGGCGACATCCCTAAACTTTTTAAATGTGCAGTAAGGATCATCCAATATTATATTCAACTCTTGTTTAATAGAATCTGATCTTTGAACAGTATAAGAAAATGTAACAGCCCTTTTAAAATTATTATTATTTTTTAAAACAGGCTGCTTGGTGTCTTTATCCCTATAGTAATTTAATGATGATGATGTTTGTAATGGAGAATTAGTATTACTAATATAATTATTTGAGCACTCAACAATATATTTGTTATTAATTTTTTTCTCCTTTGATGTGATACTGTTAAAAAATACAGGTGAGGTGACCCCAAATTTCATGTTTGAATTCAAATTTAAGCGTCGAGAACATTTTAAATTACTTTTTGTCAATTTAATAGATTTTATACCTTCTATTAAATTTACTATATCTTTTTCTTTGACCGTCGAAGGCTTCTTCAATGGAGAGAAACTTCTTATTCTTCTCCAACTTCCTATAAACAAACAGGCAAATAAATAAAAATGGTTAATGTATAGACTCAATTTAAATAATTTACCTTTTTCAACAGAATATGATCCTAATTTAGATAAACTTCCAAGAGGTTTAAAAGAAAATTTCGGCACTGATTTTTCATACTCTTTTATACACTGGGAGAATAAACCTACTGTTGGGTTAACAATGTCTGGGACCAGCAATTTACTTGGTTTTAATAGTGGTTCCAAAACAGTAGTATTTTCTGTAATGTTGTTCAAACTAGTAACAGAGAGTACCCTCTTAAATGGATTTTGGAAAATTATTTTCTCTTGTGAAGAAGAAAGAGGGGTGCTGGTTTGCCTTGAAATGATATTCTGCTCTGTTTCATTATTAGAGACTTCTTGATTTTTTGATATTGTTATTTCAACTTCCTTTTCAGAAGTTTCTGTGTTGCTGTCTTCAGCTGGTAACTCAGGTTGCTCCTTTGGGCTTTTTTCAGGCTGTATACTTTTTGAAATTCCTTCATCGGAATCCATTCTTTCACTATTTACACTATTGTAGGGACTAGATTCAGAAATATTACTAATATCACAATTAATCTCTTTTAATATAGGTTTGACCAAACTGCTCGGCTTAGCGGCAAGAAGAGAACCCATTTTTTCTTCTGTACCATTCATCAAGTCATCAACCGATTCAGCTTCATCGTTACTGCTTATAATTACATCCTCATTGCCTAAGCTAAATAAAACATCAAAATCACATTCGGATGGGCTTTTATTTACAGAGTTATCAATTTCAGGTAGTATGAAAGTTAACTCTTCATCTTTTTTCTCATCTTCATCGCCTAATCTTTCCATATCACAATCTGAAAAAATACACCTTGTTAGACTTTCAAATAAATCGATAAATTTGTTTTTGCTTATTGCTTAATTATGTTAACAGTGGTTATAATTTTTTTAGTGCAGGCGCATGAATGCACCTCTCCACAAATTATTTTAATAACTTTCGAAGCACCCAAATAATTTATCTAAAATTTCTATGTTCAAAATAACTTTTTTTTAAATGAGGTTACATGAACCCTCGGGTAACAGGTTTTGAAAGAAGGAGGGGGAAGAAAACAAAAATTTGTGAGTATGTGTCAGGTTCAAATGCTGATCTGCTTGTATTCGAACTGGGTACCTTTGCCTTACAGTTGAGCACCATGATAATGCCTTAACAAGCCCCCCCCAAAAAAAAATACCATTAATAATAATCCATATTAAATCAATGTCCATTCAATTTAATATGTAGCTTTTATTGATTTGGTCTGTTGTAAAACTAATTATTAAAATGTGTTTGTGATGTATTAAAAAAAAAAAAAATCAGCAAAGTGTACTTACTTAATGCAGAAATGTCTACATCATCCTTTGAATCAATATCTTCTTTGATATCTTTTTTCACTGAAGAAAAAAAAAAGGTTTTAAATAAAAGAAATAATTAAAATATTGGGTTGTCCGGAAAATAATGCAGGATTTTAAGTTTTCATTAAAAAAAATCTATATAAAATATTCTGTTTACGTTTACAGGATTACTCATNAATTATTTTGATTAAAGAACATTGCTTTAAAGTAACTAGTTTCTTTTTTTTTTTGTTTAATACCAAAATCCTGCATTATTTTCCGGACAACCCAATACAAACAAATATTCAGAAACTTACATTTATTTTTAACCAGCTTCTTTTTTCTTTTCAATTTTGTACATTTTGACTCTGTAAACCAACAGATACAAAAAAAATGGTTAAATGTTAGCCTTTTGAGGATATAGTTACAAGAACAATAATTCACCTTTCAGTTTATCTTCTGTTTCTTTAAGAGAAGATATTAGTTGTTTGTTGATGAAAGTTAAATGATCAATTTTATGTTCGAGGTCTTGATTTACTAAATTGTGGAACTTTTCTTTTTTCAAGCTTTCCTGTTTCTCCTGCCAAAGTTGATACGTTATTTGTGATATTGCTATGTTATTGTTAAAAATATATATTAAATTAAGCCTAAATTACCTTCAGCAATAGTTCAATTGTTGACGTCAACTTCTCAATTTTTTTCCTAAAAGTGTTATTTTCATGCACTTCCTTTGCCTTGTTTTCATGTAAATCAATAGGTATAACCTTTTCCTTTATTTTCAAGCTAAAAGAAAAAACAAATAGAATATTATATAAAATAAAAAATAATAAATTAAAAATAAATTAGGTAATGCACATCACATTATACATAACAGTGTATCAATTCAATTTTCTACATGAAAAAAATCAAAACTTACTCTTTGGTACAAATTAATTCCTTAAACAATTGGCATAATCGAGTTTTACTTTCATACAATTTTCGATCTACCTGAAACGAATAACAATGATTAATTATTGCTTAATTTCCATATACAACTATGAAATCACAAATTTATACATTTTATATTCCGGCAGACGGTTTTATTTATTTTATGTTAAGGCATGTTTTGTTTTGTAAACATTTTTTGTACTAATAAAGCATTATTATTAATTAACATTTTATATAAGGGTTAATTTACATTATAACACATTCAATCTATTTTTCTGACATACTTTCTTAATTAATAAATTAATTTAATTTAAGATATAATTGTAATACTTTTTTTGTAGTTCCTGTGGTCAGGTAAAATATTTTTTTCCAATCATTATACCAATATTAGTTTTCAATATTAAAATAAAAAATTATCAGTTCCAGTTAAAAATAGAAATATAGTGCAAAAAATAGGGCTCTTAGTAGATATTAGACAAACTCCACTCATTACAGCATTGACTTAAGTTAAATATTCTGTTTATCTAAGTTCTTGGTTGAGATGAAATAGTCACAAGTGGGATTCGAACCCATGACCTTTTGGCTCAATACGCCGCTGCTCTAACCACCTGAGCTATCGTGGCTTGAAGACTTTTCCATCTCAAACAAGACCTTAGATAAAAAAAATAATTAATATGGTCAATTATGACCACTAAACATGTATGGATTGATTTAAATATTAAAGAGAATGTGGTGAAGGATTGTGACATTGAATGAGTGTAATTAGTGCCTAGTAACTCATGTTTTCAAAAACTAAAATATTTAAAAAATGCATTATTATTTTTACTTGATAATCTATCTAACTTAGTATTACTAGTTTATAAGGTTTTTTTTTAAACTATTCACCTCATTACATCTGAGTCAGGACTGATTTTAGACAAACTTCCCACCAACATGAACAAGCAAAATTGGCATTTGAATTGGTTCATTATTTAATTTGGTAAAAGAGTATCAAGTGCAATTTATGCAATTAGGAAAAATAAATAAACTTCAGAACATCTTACTTAACAGATAAACCCCTTGCTTTACAATTTTTTTTCTGAAGTATTTCACAAAAATCACCCATGTTTTTAATGACTGATTTATATTCTTTGTGAAATATAAAAGTTAGTTCTTGCACATTTTTTAAAATTAGCTTTTATTTATATACCAAACTGGCATCTCAAAAATGTTAATTATCACGAGTTAACCCAGACAAGTCAAATTTGCAATAACTCAATTAAAATATTTACTGTTATTACTATTTACAAATGTGCAGTGTTTATAACATAATGTGCAAGTAAATTACTAAAAATAATAACAAATTAATTAACATTTAAATTGAAAGTGGTATCTTGAAGCAATGTATCTCACAAAAGGCCACCGACAATCTAGGCAGAAGTATCGCGATATGATGGTCTTGCTTTTACTACAAACTGCACATGCCTTGGTAGGATTAACTACCAGATTTGGAAATAGTTTCATCTGAATTACTTTTGCAACTACTACCAGCATCACTCATTTTAAACGCTAAGCAAAACGAGAGAAAAACTCACGTTCAGCGCAAAATAAACACGACAAATTGATTACATAAAAATATTCCTTTAGTTATTAGTAGAAAAAATTGTGTTTGCTATTATCTGCTAGGGAGGGTTCTATTAAAACATCTGCATGTGTAATTGTAAAGAACTAAAACGCAACAAGTATTGATAAAATCCAGTTTAAAAAAAAAAAGTAAAACGGGATAATAATTGAAAATTGCATTATTTAAAGCGAGTTATCTCATGTTAGGAGTAGTTAAGAGTGTTTTAAAATTAACAAAATAGAGTTCTGTTTCAGTATCTTATTCAATATCTTTATTTTCAATAATAACTAGGAATAAAAATAATAGTTGACATAAAAAGTAAACACAATATTAATAAATTGTTTATGAAGTCTTACTGCTACTTAAACTCTTTAGATAAAAATAAAGAAAATCAGTTCAATTTCATAAATTCCAGAGCCAACTTGTAGAATGTATTAATTGGTTTTTAATTATTGGTTTTTAAAATGGTTTTCTTTGATGAAAAAATAAATTTGAGTAACATTTTTTAAAAATTAATTTACTTTTTAAATATATTTTTCTTTTTTTAATTTAAAGCGGCCCATAGACGATCAATATTATTGCACAATATTTTGGGTTGTACAATTTAATTGACCGTCAAATTATTGTACAATAATATTAACCGTCTATGGGCCGCTTTAGGTACATTGAGGAAGTTGTCCTGGCAGCTGTGGTCCCATTTGCAATGCATGTAATGAAACTTAAGCGGCCCATAGACGGTCAATATTATTGTACAATATAGATTGTACAATAATTTGAGGGTTGCCCCTTAACGTTCAATAATATTGTACAAAATTTTGTTTGTGCAATGAACTTGAATAGTTTGAAGGTGATATTGAAGTTTGTGCAATATTTTCCACTTTTTGATACTTCACAAACTGACTGATAATGCGCAATAATGCCAACAGACAGTGCAATATTTTCCAGGTTGTACAATATATTTTTAACTTTTCGTCAATCATGCAATGTAATGCACAAACTTTCAATATCGTCTACACATGATCAATTAAATTGCACAACCCAAAGTATTCTGCAATAATATTGATCATCTATGGGCCGCTTTAGTGTAGTCAAATATCCTATTCTGTATGATAATCAGTTCGGTACGGGCATGGAGCTGATATCCCACCCCATACCATAATCAACTGTCTTTGAAATGGCAAAAGCATTCTCCATGTCTTTTTCACACAAGGCCATCTGATTGCCACAAACCAAACTGGCACTCATCCATTAAGAGAACCCTATTGGTCATGTGTCCAAACGAGATGCTGATTTCCAAACAGTCGCTTTTCTGCTCGATACCTCTCCAGTAGTAGGGAGCCCAATGCGGAACACAGATATTAAGCTATTTTCACAAAACCTTGTTATGACTGAATTGTTCACCTTTACTTCACAAGGAAACTGTTAAATGATGGTTCTGTAGAGCAGCAAGAGCATTAAAATGTCATCTCTAGCCATCGTACACCACAGTCATCTGCTAACTATTGAGATTTCTAGTGGCCCTAAACCACTATAGACGACCATGGATGGTAGAAGACGGCACACCCAGGACTTGGGCTATTTAATGTATGCTAGGTCTATTGTTAGCCAAACATCTGCCCAGACTGGATCCTTTCAACTTAAAACCATGCTTTAATGTAAAGAGTAATGAATGAAACACTACGAACATAAATTACAACTTATTAATGTTGTGTTTACGTTTTAAGTCAACTATTACTCTTTATACCTAGTTATTATGGAAAATAAACAAATAAATGCAAGTTTTCGTATTTTTATATTAATATTTATACGATAAACTACAACTTATACATTTTGTTTGTTTGGATGAGTGTAACTATAGTGGTCAAGTGTTTAAAAATTAGAAATATTTCATCCGAATCCGGTCTAAACTTCCCCACCAATAACAACAAATAAACTTTTACATTGCTTTCTTACCGACTACAGTAATTATGTTATCGAGTGGATTTTACTTATCCATAAAAACACAAAACTGATAACAGATTCGGAATGATTTAGGCATTAGCGAGACATTTGTGAGGGATATTGACGAGATTTTATTGAAAATCGGCAAGGCCGGTTCGAGTTGATAAGTCAAAAAACCGGCTATTACAAAACTTACTTCTATTTTTTTCTTCAGTTCTAGACAAGAACTACACTGTCCTTCAATATCCATGCCATTGAGAATTGTAAATTCGGTTTATTTCTTCAGCATGACAAAACGTATTAACAACGTAACTTCGCCGAGCGGACGAGACAAACGATCAGAACACGCGCTCCGGCATTTGCCGATAAATACCATAACCTTCTCTTTAGATAAACCTCCGTAATTCAAATATTTAAAAAAATTGTAATTTATTTTCTTATCTTAATTAATATTTCATAAAATAAAGGAAAAGTTTAGTTTGCCTACGGAAGTATTTGATCGATAAATAAATTAAATAGACATTTTTTTCTGGCTCTAGTCAACACTAAAGACAGTGGCAGTGGCTTTTACCGGCGCGGTAGTTTCAAGGAGCCATCATTAATGGTGCCGTACTTTGTAAATTCCTTTTCGTAACAAGGTGCAAGAAAATTCAAGATTGCGTAAGTACAATTTAATTTTGCAATACTTTCATTTCTTACTTTATGAATATTCACATTAATGAAAAAGAAAATCGACAATAACGAAGGACAGCATTATTCACCGATTCTGTAGCGGAGTATCCTTGGCTTCTGAAAATGAAAAGATTGACACAAAGTAAGCTAAATTTTGCACGAGTCCGTGCATTTCTATTATTTCTGTTAACGTTTCTAAGGATTTGCTTGATTTCTTTAGTTTTTGAAAAAATTTCACTGTAGTATATGTAAGTCACCTGTCGCGTTACGACAGGTTGTAGTGAAAGCGGTGAATCTGGATAGTTATCCGATAAAACCCTTGAAATTTGGGGAAGGGGGTTGAATAAGGATTTTAAAAATTCTTTCCTCTATTATAAACTTATATAAACTTCTCAAAAATGAATATGGATATTTTATTTTTATTATAAATTATTATGTGTGGTGATTAGTGACCATTAGTCTATAATTATTCAGAAATCGTGGGATGCGGTCTGGTGTGATGTAGGTTTTAGAACAACATTTTCTTTATTGTGCCAATGTTTCGATCTTTATTGAGATCATCTTCAGGGCTCAAGGTGTTTGTTTTCTGCGTAAGTGCCATTTTTGCGTGTCGTGTTGAGAGTGCCCCTGAAGATGATCTCAATAAAGATTGAATTGGATGGAATTGGCACGATAAAGAAAATGTTGTTCTGAAACCTATATCACACCAGACCGCATCTCACGATTTCTGAATAATAAATTATTGTTTTACTGAAGGGAAATTTAATTAAGAGATTTTAAAAAATAACAAAATAAAAGGTTTTAAGTCCATAATTCGTTTTTATTGGACACAATAATCTTTTTAAACAATCAATACCGTGTTTAATGTCCTCTGTTAGCTAAAACTTCTGTCCACCTGTTATGAATTGAATTTCACTCCGTAGATGTAGCTATGATGTAATTGCGTATCTAGTTTTTTAAAATCTTAATCATTGTGATCTTGAATCTAGAACTACTTAATAAAAAAACGCAATAATTGATCACATCGGGGTCACCAATTATTGCGTCTTTTTATTAAGTAGTTCTATATTCAAGATCACAATGATTAAGATAAAAAAAAAAAAAAACAACTAAATATGCAATTACATCCTTTATTACATACTGTTTACAAAATGTTATACAAAAATGATCATGTGGACAATTAATATTAATTTTGGAATGGATGTTGCAACATCGGTACCTTGGGGTGTAGACAAGCTTCTTAATACTCAACCAAACAGGACAAACAACTGTACTACACTGAAGTGACTACCCTTTCTTAGGGATGGTCTTTTTTATTTTTCCTTTTACACACTTCCTGCGAGGAGCGCTTAGCATCAGTGTTTCCACTGGACTGCTATAAGGCCTACTTCCCACAAACGATTACGAATAGTATGTGTTGATAAAGGCCTTGCCTAAACATCTTGTACTTCCTTTAGGATCCGGCGGCACTATAACAATATTTCTGTCCTCTCTTACCTTCTTATTGTGATGAGATCTACTACCAGGCTTCCTATTAGCATTTCCAGTCTCTCAGAATTGTGCTAAATCCAAGGAGACCACGCTCTGAGAAATGCCAACTGCCTCTGCGATAACCACTTGCTGGTGACCTCTTTGGCTCATTCTCACAATAGTGTTGCGAACTTCTGGTTCAAGATAATGCCTTTCCATGGTTAAAGAGTATACAATTGGATTGAAATGTAGAAACGATGAGAAAAGGTGTTTGTTTAGAAAATGAGTAATCTTCATGTTTACTATTACTAAGAAAATCCATTATTGTTATGTTTTTTTATCCAACTAACAAGAATATATCTGTTAATTTAATTAAAATTAATAGACGAAGAATAAATTACAAATATCCCTATTCATTTTTGAGCAGTTTAGATCTATTGTGGAACCCCTATAAATTGAAAAATGGAACCCCATACCTTGAAAAATGCACTTTTTCCTATAAGAGTAAGCACTTTCCTCTGCACCTCTTCTGGTGTGAGAATTGCCATACCAAAGTGGCTGTACTATCGGGCTAATGCTTTACAAAGGACATGTACCAATGTCTAAGGCCCCTCCTAACAGAGTCGGTATGTTTCTTTCTCTGATCTGACCATCTTCTACAGATGATAGGCAGTGGCTGGTTTAGAGGCCTATAATTTTCCCCAAATCCTGCCGGCTATGAGTGAGGAGTTCCTTCGCCTTCCATTTCTAGGTTTATAAGTCCCCAAGCTTGCCTCATGTTGAGTTTTTTCAAGCCATTTTTCCAGTTCCAACTTAGGCATACACTCCGGTGCACCTAAGGGTTGCCCCTTTTTTTGGCCAGTTGGTTTAATGTAATCTTGTTGTTTTCCTAGAGCTATTAGGTAATTTAGGCACTCCCAGACTTAACTTGGACTTAACATACATACATACATTTAGTGACTTTATAGCTGCCGGGCTCTCTGAGAGTATATAAATCATTGCACTTTTCATATTTTTCTTTTTTAACTCCTATGCATCCTCCCTAGAGTTACATTGCACGGATGTCAGCTTGAAAAATAGTTGATATTAGTCCAAGATTTATCAAAGAGTACCATATTAAGGTCTCTTCCTGAAGCTCGGGGCTACCTTTCTTCTAGTCCTATATTATCCATGATCACTTGAAGGATTTGTCAAACTTGAGTTTTTCATTCATTGCATCTCAATTATTTTAATTCACTCCAGAATATTTTGTGATGGTTTCTACTTGGATGTGACTGTATTTCCCTTTGTGAATTTCAGGAATCTATTGGCACTCTCCAAAGTCACATTTTGTACTTAAATATGTAAAAGTGGGTGATCGGGTGCAGTGATTGTTGACGTGGGGCAACAAGAGTGCATTGCCCTTGTAATATTTGAGACATGCTTTTATCAATTCACTTGTAAACGATAGTTCTACTCACAAATTGGTTTTATGCAGCGATCCGGATTTTGGGCATAATAAAATAAGCCAGAAGGCTGCAGTGCTTGGGGAACAAAAAACTCTACACTTCCTAGTAACCATATTCATCATCATTACCATACAGTAGACTCTCATTATCCATGCTTTCACTCTTCTGCGTTGTCCCCTTTGTTGAGTTCTAAAGGAGAGTGGGAATAAGGAGAGATCTGACCTCTGACGATGAAGGAGAGGAGAAAATAAAAGAAAAACAGGAGAAAAATTTGAAGAAATCTCTTGATTTGTTCAAAAGATGAAAGACAAATTCATAGAATATGATCCAATAGTGCAACAGAGCATCAATGGAACATATCACATGGTAATTCAAGCAATAGAACTTGTTTTCCTGCATGGGATAAACTTTATGTATGTTACCATAAATTGAATTTTTCTTACTGGAGGGGGGGGGGACAACCGTGAAATATGCCATCATTGATGATAGGCATATATGGTACAGAAAGTATGCATTGGTATGCAGAGAAGGAAATGCTTTGAAACATGAATTGGTGGTTCTTATTAACAATGGTTCTCGATGAGTCGAGGTTCTGTGAGGCTCGATCTCTAATAATAGTACACAAGCAGACAGGTCTTATTAGTTCCACACATCCATAACTACTATCTATAGTACAATTACAACAAACTAATGGCATAAACCATTTTTATTTTTCGAAAAAGTTTAATTACAATCAATAACAAGGTCTTACTTAAACTACAAAATAAAACTTAATGATCAAGGCTCATCATCTTCAGGGATTCCTAGTTCTTCATTGGTCCATAATTTTGGGTCTGGATATGGAAATTCGCCCTTAAACAATTAATTTTGTAAGTGGATGCTTAAATTAAATATAAACTGTCACACTTACTGTAATATGGTCTGGTTCTTGCCACAAGTGCCAAAGGATCCACCACCAAGTAAAACCCATTAAAAATTGGGACCCATAAACCACTAACTTTCTCGGTGGATAGCCACCGCATCTGTACGAAAACCTAAAGAACAATTGGTCAATTTCCAACAATTCTTTAATTATTAAAAACTAAAAGCAAATAACTGGATTTAGCTCAGTAGGGTACTTACAATCCTCCGCTGTTCCTAACTTGCTGGACCTGCGAGGCAATTGGTTTTCTCAGGGTGGTGTCAATCCTTCGAAAAAGGTGCAAACCCCTCGAAAGGGACATTTTAAAAATTATTTTTGGATAATCCAAAAGAACCAAGACCTTCCAACACCTTATAACAAAACAGGGAGGTTTTCATGAAAATTTGTTACCGTCCAAGGTTTCACCCCTTACAACCCATTATAACACAGCAAAGTTTTAAAGGTTTTCATTTTAACAAGAAATTATTACTCCATATTCAGGATTAAATATAGCAAATATTTAAATTTTTGCAGTTTGGAGTTATCGAATTTCTGATAGTTTTCGTTTAGAGTTTACCACAAATTTATAAACCTCATGATCTAGTCAAATTGGGAGAAATAATAAAATATTAAAGCAGATTTCCCTCTCATTAAAATTTATTATCACGACATTAATTCATAACTATTAAACTACAGATGCCCCTCAAGAACCTGAGCTGGAAACAAGGAATCCCCTAGGTAAAATACCCGATTAAGAATAGGCCATGTGAGGTTGACACAGTGGCACCTGCTCCTCAGCCCTTCATGCAGAGAAAGGTTGCTTAATGTGTCCCACATAATAGAAACTGGCTCCTTAGATAGACTATATAGCCATGTTGCAGTATTTAAGTATGTTTTCGGGCACAGTAGCGGGTTTTCAGTTTTGCTTTTTGGAGACATGTTTTTTTATTGTATATAGATCTGATTTATGTGCCTTGTTTGAGTGCGTGTATTTATTAGCGTCAATGGTGAAGGCTTATGGTATAATATAGTAGTGCGTTTAGGGCTAATGGCAGAATATTTATAAAAATCCCCATCAACCCTCATTTAGATTAAATTAATAATATTGTGTCAATGATGAAATACTACACCAACCAATCAAAAAGAGTACACTGTACATAGGTGTGAATTACATATTTGTGTGCCTATACTATAGAAGTTAGTTTTAGGCTAAATATATTTTGCATGTGTTGGAAGTTGAAATGACCTATCTTTTGAATGTGCCCATTGCCATTGGTTGGGAAGCGATGATCTTCTGGACAATTGGTTTAAAAAATACTAGTGACCCAGTGTCATAACAGGGTTGGTGAATCCATTGGATGAATCACTCCCTAGGATCAGCATATCAGGGAGAGACTACACCTCCATGGTTAAAGTTCTCTATTAAACTACCTTTCATTGTAATATTGGAAATGGGCTTTCAACACCGGCACCCCAAGGGTTCAAATAACCTCATGGTTGAAATACCCTTTAAAAAAAAATCTGGTAAAAAAATACAAATTTGTTGTTTTGAATTTTTCAGGGTTCTACGCTATTCAATAGCATGTATAGAAAACCCTCTATTTAGAATTTTGATATGAACAGAACCAAAATATTGGTATGAATGTACTTGTATACAGTAAAATGACTGACATCCTTCTGTAATGTTGTTTTTCTGAATGATCATGGTTGCAGAGCAGTCAATCAGCTCGTTGGTTTCTATCAGTCTGGTAGACCACAGGGTTCGACTACCAATATTTCCTCTGAAAATGTTTATTGCTTTATCCATTCTGTTGTAACAGTTCAATTATTCTCTTGGGAAAAAATTCCAGACTATTATAAAAAAAAAAAACGTTTTGGATGTCATGATAATTTTTATTTGGCTTGATTGTTAAAAAAAACATTTCTGGCTCAGTACTTCGGATTCCTTAAACTATCTTCCTAGGTTGCCACAAAATTTGCTTTATTATGTTTTCAAACAAAGAATTATGCCAAGAAAAAAAAGCCTAACTGACAGTGTGATGTTACAACAAATATCTCAAAATTAATCAACAGTAATTTGATACCTCTTTGCCCAACACACAGGCCATATCTCGCTCTTTCAGATTACCCTTTGTTCCAAACCTTATTTTACTTTTTCCATGATCCAAGATTCGTGACTTACGAAGTAGAATATAGTTTCATTAAGGTTGTTTCTAGACTTATAGGTTGAGTAGTACAATAGGAAGAATAGCAAAAAGATGAATTTTAGATTGAAATTGATTGTAAATTTTTTAAACCTTATTTTTTTACAGCTTGGTTGTCCTTTCAGTTTGCCCATTCTCAGCATTTTCCATATTGGGTGGTGTGTTTCAGCTGTACAAGACAAAACAGTAAATTTAATTGTCAAATTCAACAATCTGTTGTAAACTTGTAGTTTTGTTACCTCTGATCTTCCTGGCTAGCCTATCATTGAATTTTATAATTGATTCAGCACTTTTCTCTCTTACGATTATTTTCAGGTCTGAAAGCAGGGAGAGGCACAGAAAGAAACACATTACATTGGTTGAATATATACAAATGTATTTAGTATTGAACAGAATTTAAAAAAAATGTATTTTGGCAACCTGATTTTTTTTTTTAAGAAAGATTTTTGTTCGGTAAAATTACAAAAAAAGAACATAAACTTAACTACACACATATATTTAAAACTCAATGTACAGTAAAAAAAATCATACATAATTTTCAATTAAATGTTATATGGTGGCCAAGTACTTTCTCAGCTTTTTTAAATAGCTTTTCTTTTCCTCTCTGTTTTACTTTTGGCTTGTTTAATTTTTCTTCCCTGTCTTTCTGAATTCTTTTCCAATACTCCAGCTCTTCTTCGCCTGAAATTAAGTAAAAATTAAAAATGTTTTATATTATTATTTTTTATATTTTTATTTTTAAAGAGGTACCCTTTAAAATTTCAACTTCTTGCCATGGTGCATCTTCACAAAATTTTCTGGTGTCTTCTTCTGTTTTTAGCCTGACGTACACTGTCATCGCTCCTTCCTTTACATCAACGTATTTTACTGCGGAGCTTACGACATTAATTTCATCCTAAAATTATATTTTAAAAAAAGTTATAATTTTAATGAACTTTATTTTACAACTTACTTTAAATTGTTTTCTGCTAATAACAGGTTCATTCATGTTGATCTTTACAATTATACCAGGGGTAAATTCACTGGGGATGGTACTATTACTATTCTTTTGATTAATATTATGATTATTTTCCTCTTGTTCTCTGTATTTATTTGCTGTATGGTCTTGTTGTTTTTGTTTTAACTGTCTTAAGTGCTGTTTCAACATAGTAGTTTTTTCCCTTTGCGTCATCAGGTATTTATTTCTTAGGTGTTTCCAATCCTTCCTAATCAATTAGTAATATATAGTCGTGTATTCTTGAAAAATACCACTGCTTACTTACTTTGACAAAATTTGGAAACCAGATGTTTCAGCCGTTACTTTAGCCTTCTTTGCTTTCTTTTTCTTGTTTCGGTTTTTCTTTTTTCTAACCTCTTCTGTAACTTCTTCACCTTCAGCAACTTCTTCTTGGAGCTTATCGGCTAATAAGGGTTCAAAGGAAATTGAGTAATTGTATATTAAGGTAATTGATTCAGCATAAGATACCCTCTTCAGTTTCAGGTTGAAAATTTGCTTTTTGCTTTTTTGCTTTAACTTCTTCCTCGTGATGTTCAGGAGTTTTGTCTGCTTTTCTTTTCTTTGTTTCGCAAGGCTGTGAAGCGACATTTGCATTTTCTTTTAATAATTGCCCTTCAGATTTTGTTTCGTAAGTTGCTATACTTAATAAATGTTTAGGGTCCATTTCAGCTGTCGATAAATAACTTCCAACCTTTTTGTATTCCTGAAAATGAGTAAAATGTACTTTACATATTGAATGAGAAAAAGTTAAAAATCACCTCCACAGCTTTTTCAGCAAACTCTGGTTTGGAAAATTCAATAAAAGCAAATCCTTTACATTTCTTAGAACTGCTGTATTTAGGAATGGAAATATAATCAACAGAGCCATAAATGGAAAATTGTTCTTTAAGCCAGTCATGATCAGCATCAGGTGGCACATGTTCCTAAAAGAAAATAAATATTGTAAAATAAATAAATACTCACTAGTAATTACTAAATACATACAACATAAATGGTGCACTCGTCAATGTTGTCTTTCATTACAAGATTTTTAGGCTTAACTTTCATTTCATCGGTAACTTCCAGCTCAGTTGAATGCTTGAGTGCCTTCCGCAGGTCTTTGATATTATTCGTCAAAGCGCGTATCTTGTTATAACTGAGGAATTCAGTCAATTCGATGCCTTTGGATAAAAAAAAATTAATACAATAAATATAAGACTGAACAAGCAAACTAAGCAGCAAAACAGCACCAGCATCACTTTTACAACATAAAATGAAGCAAATTTCGATTTAAAACAAATATTTAGATTTATTATCTTGAATTCTGACATAAAGTGCATGGTGCCACTGTCGGAGGTCTTGAATTTAATTGGTTTGCCTCCTGTTGCGACTTCCAGTTTAAAATATTCAACTAGTACATTTAAAATCGATAAAATACTGCGTACTCCCTTTGGTTTTCAGCAACTCGGCAGTCATATTATTTTTGGCAAGATTCGAAGGGCTGAAGTAAAACTCCATAAGGTTTCTGATAGAAGCATAAAGCTGCTTTTTTCTACTCCTGTCCTTCTGCTTGGGCTCTTCAACTTCTTCCATAGCGTCGACTGGCGGTTTGAGACTGTTCAGTGTTCACTGTTTCAAATAGACATGCTTGAGTCCTCTAAAAATAAACTCCCTGAAGAAGGGATGAATCATGGTGTGCAATGGTTTTAATGTGAAGATAGCGTTGTACTCGTCAACTATGACGATTTGATGACTAATATTTAGGGAACTGTACTTCAAATATATGGATAATGTTATTAATAATTTCAGTTCTTATGCATCTAATCATCTAATATATTCATGTCATCTAATCTAACATTGGATTAGGTTTTTTATATATTTAATTTTTTCCTTATCCACAAGTTTTATTGTTATTTATTGCAGTTCGCTAGCTTTTATTATTTTATCAATTCATGTCTAACTCTTTTTGTTGTGTATGTTTTTATACTCTTGATGGTTAGGATTTGAATCACATAACTTATTTGAACTGCATTAAATAAATAACTAACTTAATGAAGGGTCAATGGAGTACTCAATATTTGACCTTCTCAAACTACCTATTCACACTAATAAATACAGTCACTCTCAACACTTACTAGAGACACAAAACTATCATTAATATATGCAATAAAACACCCTCTTTCATCCAAGATTTAGAACAGAGGACCCATCTCTGTTGTGCTCAAGCATAATTCTCATATTGAGTGGTATTCCTATGTGCTTTCTATATGGAGCCAAGAAATTGCACCTTTCAATTAGTTAGGACACATCGAGCTACTTTTCTCTGCATGATCGATTCATAATCATGTGAGGATGACCTTTCTTTACATGTCAGGTCCTCTGAGGGCCACCTATCGACAGTGCTCTTGATATATGAGAGCTTCTCTGATGATCCATGTAAATATCTTTTTGTTGTTGCATTTTTTGCGACAGAGGGCCAAATCACAAAATTTAAAGGTTGCCAGAATAAAAGCTCCAAACAAATTTTCTTTCTAATACTACCAGATTCGAACTTGAGCAATTTGTTCATGTTGCCAACTTCTTACACCTGAGTGGGTTAAGGCTTAAGCTTGGTATTTATTATTTCCTCCAGTAAAAAAAGAAAGTAAGAATATTCTTTTTCTTTCATTTGTGATGGATAAGGCTCTTAGAGAATGATGATCCAACGAATGAGCTGATGATCAACATTGAGGCTGAAGAAGGCAAAGTCTTGGAAAGCGTGAGCTCCCTTGTCGTTAGGAGATTAGTCCACAGTTCTAACCCCATCAAAACATTGCTAGGAAATCTACTGGAAGTAAACATTTGAAGGTGATATACTATGAATGTGTAATTTCTAAAATTATATTTGTCCATGTTTTGATGTACATCATCATCCATCATCACAAGAGATCGGCAGGTTCACTCTTACGTTTTATGTTGAGAGATGTTTTGTAATTCCTTCAACCTGATGACCATGTAATGCTCAAAATCTGGATTGTTTTAAACAACAAATCTTAGTAGAACCATCATTTCTGAAAAGTGAATATACATACTCACTCCAAACCTTCACCATTTCTATACCACCATTTCTTCCTTCTAAAGAAATAATATGTATTTTTTTAATTACCTTGCTGGGTACTGAACAATGCAGTTTGATCATAAAGGACGTTGTCAAGGTAATATTTTCATATAATGAGATAAAAAAAACAGGTTTAAAAAGTATAAGGTATATTTACAGTAGTCACACATATAGTCGTATTTACAAAATTATTTCTAAAAGTCATATGTACAGAATTAAAAAAAATACATAACATTTACGTATGTTTCTATTAATTAAAGTCAATAACAATATTTCTTTTAAAATAGTTAAGTTACATTTACAAATTAGTACCAAAAAAAATGGTACAACTACTTTGAAAGAGAATTACAAATCGAATACCTCACATTGAGTTTATGTCATAAAGTGTAACTATGGAAAGAGATTCATTCCCCAAAAGGACATTTGACAGACCCCTAAATGTGAAAAAAAAATATTTAAAAAATTCTAAAAGAAATGAGATCAAAATGCAAATATAATTACACTTTTACTTTTAAAGAGCTTATAAAATTTTCGATTCTATGTATGTACATGAAACTGGCCAACAATATAGTTTACACTTAGTATAATACATTTATACCACTTAAAAGTATATTTAGAGACTTCAAATTGTGTGTATAAAACTGTTGAATGAATCAGTTTTATTGACTAGAAAAACATAATCTGGCACAATTTATACTCACATATGCATGTAGAAAAGATTGTCAAACAAATTCTTTTAACATAAAAAAATTAATTCTGTTTGAACATTTTTTTATGCCACAGTGACTAAATGAATTTAACATTTATAAATAATTCAGTCAGGGCCATTTGTGCTCGGAAGGAAATCAAACTTCCAAAGTAAAAGGCTCGGTTGACCTTTTTGTGACCCTTTTCTATTGATGTTAGGATCTGATATGATCCAAAATACACAATGGTCTTAGAAAATATAAGACTAGGACTGATATAAACTGATCAAATATACAATAATTACAAAACATAAAAGTAAGCAATCACAATAGATTTACATTTCTTACACAATTAAAATAATTGGGGAAAAAAGTAAAAATATTAACAAAAAAAAAAAAAAAAAAATGAAATTGGTTGGTAAATTTTTGAGAAGTATTAGACCATAGTAACATTTCTTCGTTTTCTATCATTACTGTTCACTGAAGTCATAGATCCTTGTAAACTTGCATTGTACATGCTTGGATTCGGTTGGTAATTAATGAATTGATTTGGTGGTGGCAAATGACCAGCCGGGCCATATATATCTTGCTGGTAGGCTGGCAGTGGTGGAACAGGAGGAGGGTAGTATTGGGAATAGTCATCGACTTGGCCATAAGGACTGTGTCTTCTCTCATGCTCATGTAGTAATTGTGATGCAGTCCAAGATTGGTAAGGGCTTAGGGTTTTTTCTCTGATTAGGGTATTATTGCGATTGTCATATTCACTGATAACAGTTAAATTGCTGTTGCCATAATTTCCAGGGCTGGGTAAATTGCCATTTTGTACCATCCCATCATAAGGAGTCATGCTGTATCTTTTATTCGGATCTTCTTCCACACTCACTTCGTACTGTGGTAAATTTGTCATTGTCGTGTTCACTTCATAATTGCTTGTAGGAGCTGAATGAGTTACATTGTTACCATTTTCAGTTGGAACTATTGACACATTTAATGGTTTTTCTGGATGATTGGCCTTAGCATCTTTATTAGCACGTTTTCTTAAGCAAAAATAACAGTAAACAGTAATTGCTAATATTAATAGCAGTAAACCAATAATGACAGGAAGAATGAATTCTAAACTCAGTTCAAATTTCTCAGCCAAATTAGGAACTGCTGTCTCGTCTTCTTGAGTCCAAAGTGGCATTGAGGTGGATGTCGAAGTAGTCATTGGAGGAGGTGGTGGAGGAGAAGGCACATTAATTCTTATCCAATTTGATATTGGTCCTGGTTTTGCGAGTTCATCTAATTCAGTATATCCTCTGATGGCAAAATACAATGTTTGGTCCAATAGTGAAGGGTTCCTGGTAAAGTCTAGAGTAAAAGTTGTTTCAGATCCTGGCGTAAGAGGAAATGGTACTCCATGAGCCCAAGGAGTTCCCGAGTCAAAGTGATCGATAATGTCACCAATCTGGTGGGCATATTTCAGTTCGTATTTTGCCACTGGCTTTCCGCCCATATCAGGTGCAGTCCAGACTAAACGGGCTTTCAGGTCAGTTGGAAGGATCACTGCTTGGAGATCTCCAACTCTTCCAGACACAACATCATTTTTAGAAATGTGGATTGTTAATGGTGGGAGAATCCGTTGGAAAGGGGATAGAGGTTCAACTGTAGGTGCAGGCATTGAACTTCCACAGCAGGCAACGTCTATAAATAAATGTACAATTTATACAATTCTATAGATTTGGAATTATTTTTGTATCATAAGAAAACATACTTGTCAAAAGATCTCCTTCATACTGATGACCATACTGCCAAGAATAAGCAGTATTCCCATTATCACTAACAGTCACTTCAAATGTATAATCCCCTGATCCGCCTGCGTAGGCACTAAAGTAGCGGGAATATATGCCATCACCTTTCATTACATCTGGATCTGCAAATAACAATAAAAAAAAGTAGAATGAATGACCTCCATCCCTTATATTTTAATAATTCAACAATGCTATTGAGAACTAACCACCACTTCCGGTATCCATTAGCTCAAATTTTTCCCGATGTGTTGATCCATTTATGCCTATCTTGACTGCAGTTACTTCAACTTTAGCGCCTAGGATTGGGAAATCACCTCGTTTCACCTATTAATAATATTACATTGTAGTTTTATACTAATTAAATTAATAATAATAATAACAAAAGTCTATACCTCAGTGTATAAAATAACACCATTATTAGTATGGCTTGAGAATAGTCTTGCATTTACGACTGGTGCACTATGAGATCTAGGTGTAGCCATTACTTGAACATAATGAGGTTGAGGTGATCCAGAAAACCGTTCAATTGTGTAAGTCCATGTTCCAGTCTATAAAAAAAATTGTAATATATATTTAGCAGGAGATTACACAGAGGAATATTTTTAGAAAAAACCTCTAAATAAATACCTCATTTATATTTGCTGGAACATTGAGAAGTTTGAGGGAAATCAATGCATCTGATCGTGTAGAATAAACTTTATGAGAAGGACTTACAAGAGTAATGCTTCTTATCAGAGGATTTTCTATATTATGGGTAAGAACTGTAAATTTAGCTGGCTCACCAAGCCAGTCATCGAGAACAAAACTTCCTGTTACTGATGTTTGACCATTGTCAACTATTTCTTTTCTATGGATCTATAAAATAAATTTAAATATTATAATTCTGATTGATTGACATCAATAATGATAGTCATTAAACTTACCTCAATTGGCAATTCTGATTTATCGCCTTGGTAAAATGCCCTCTGAATCGCCCACATAACATTGGTCAATTTGAAATAAGTTGAGATATAAGATGTTGCCATGTTGTATTTCGTTTCCATTACGGTAAATGAAATACCATCTGTAGCTTCAGCCATCCAGTCAAGAGACCTAGGTCTTACTTGTGCAGGATATGTTATTGTAGCGATCCGTATATGTGATTTTCTTAGTTTAGGCATCAGCTCAGTAAGATCGGGCACATGTTCCATAGTTCCGGGTGCAATGACAACAATAACTGAATTTGCAGGACCATTTAATTGAGCTTTTTCATGTAACAACTACAACCCAACAATAAAAATTTATATTAATTTGTAATAATATATAAGGATTATACTTTAAAAACAATCAAAGTACCTTATAAGCTTTGTTGATTCCACAGTACAAGCAAGCTGCTCTTGTATCACCAGGAGTATATGGGACATTGGAAGCAAGCAAATCTCTTGCTGCTGTATTGTAAAGTGTTGTTAATTTTTGTATGACAGTTGCCGATGATTCATTTGCGGAAACCAAAGCAACTTCTACTTGCCCTTGTAACTGTACGACAACCCATTTTCTTATGGCCAATCTCAAATATAGCCATGATTCCTAATACAATAAAGTCCATTTGAATATTATAGTTATATGTATTTTATTTTAATTTGTGTAAAAGGTTTTTACAAACTTACTCTCACTAGCATATCTTTGGTATCTTCTATTACAATTACATAACGTGTAAGACTCTCCCTTTTGTAAATAATTGTCGGAGTCGTATTTATAGGTTCATTACTTGTGAAACTCCTGAAATGTATAATATTTATTACTGAAAGAATAGTTAAAATATTTGATATAGTAATTTCTTCTTGTTAACTTACGCATTGGAGAAATCTGAATGTTCATTGATGATCTGCATTACACTTTTTCGTTCGCATAGATTATTTTGTTTTGTGGGTGCAAATCTGTCATGACTTGAAGCATCACAGAATTTGTCAACTTTGTGAGAGTTGGTGAAAAGAAGAGATGTTTGGGCCTCATGACTCACCAGGTTGGATACATTAAGGTGCCCAGTTTTGCACATCCTGGCAAAAAGAATAAAACATTAAATATGCTTTCCAGTCAAAAAATGAAAAAAAAAAAAAAAAAGACTTTACCCATTTTCTGATATAGGTTTGTCTGAACAGCCGTTAACTTGTATGTCTTCAGAAAGGTCAGAGTAGTAACATGACGGGTATATCGGGTCATCTAGGAAACCGACTTCATCGAATACGCCATATCTGTATTTGGCCCATTCACGAGCTAAACTCTTACCTACAGAAAAGTACACATTATAGTAAACTATTCATATTCTTTGAAATAATCAATGCTTACCCAATGTGGGAACTTCCTGATCCAAAAACAACCGATAGCTCAGATAAATAAAATCACCTGGGTGACCACAAGGTTTTGACTGTTGGGTCCATGGTGTATCTCTGTAGACTGGGTGAGGAAGGCCAATTGTAATATGGGATGTCTCTCCCTGTGAAGGAATTGTACTGTGGCCAGGTACACATGTATCTGGCCAATTACTTGGAATTAGAACAGTCACACTCTTCCATGATGCTCTACCCCTCAATGATCTGTACACTGCTTCCGATCCTTTTGACAAAGCATTCTAAAAACAGAAAATGTAATTAATTATTCATTTGCTGTAAAGTTTGCCAACAACTAAAGTAATATAACAATACTTCATCGAAATAAAAAAATAAATTATATATAACATAAAGAAGAGAGAAAATTGGACAAGCAAACCAAGATACTTGAGCAAAAATGAATTTAAATATAATTAAAATATGAAAGAGTGAATACGTTCTTTTTATCACCATTTAATAAGTGTGGGGTCTGAAAACTGTACTGTGATTTTTCACTTAATAAATTCAACTTCCAATTGGGATTGAAAATAACTGTAAGTAATGACCTTTTAGTTCTTTTTTCACTATCTTGAAAACTCCAGTTCAACCAGCTTTCAATTCCATTATTCTTAACATTTTATCAATTGTATAATCGAATCCCGGATTTTTTCAATTTCGTAGGGAATATTACAATGGATATTGCGAAGGGGAAAAAACTTTCTAATCATTTGTCTAAGTAACGGTCTGCCGAATATGGATACGAAAGTGTTTCCGAACGTGTAGTATTGAACACTATGAGAGAGAGTGAAAACCAGAATGGAATACGAGGGTTGACCCGCGAGCTGAACTTTGATATTCCAAATGAAGAGGAAATGCCAGTCCCGTGGGCACGAAAGTTCTTTCAGGCTGTTTCTTCTTCTCCAGCTCGAATTTATCTTGACTATTTTTACATAGAGGATAGATTTTTCAGTATAAAAGGTGAAACTTTTTACAACAGCGTTCAGTTTTAACAGAACTCGGTCCAAAATTGGCCCTTATCTTGAGTATCTTTATATAGAGGCTGGATGTTTCTGTCCAAGAGATGAACGTTTTAGTAAAAAGAGAACTTGGTCCAAAATTGGTCTTTAACTTGATGTCTTTACATAGTGGATGGAGGCTTTAATCAAATAGGTGAACCTTTTGACGACACCGCCAATTTTAATAAAGACAGAACTTGATCCAAAATTGGCCATCTCCTTTTCTTGTAACTTCGTATTTGTCGATAAACTGTCTCGCCCCGGTATTCTTTAAGTACCTTTTGATGAGGTTGCGGCTTTTTAAATTTCTCACGTCTTTATCTACGACCGGAGACAGAATCATATCTGGAAATGAACTTTTAAAATTTCAGAGACAGTCTTTGTGTGCGTCCGAGCGTGGACAAAGAAGTGTAGACCGGCTTTCCGACAAAAGATTGTCGCCCATTCATCACGCTAATGTCATACTTAGTGCACAAAGCTCCCATTCACCGAGGTCCAACCCTTAAAGACGGCTTTATTACCGGTGGAAACGGGGAGCTCTTTATTTTTGTAACCCCACCCCTTCAATATTCATAGGCCGGACGTTAAGGGAGGTAAGGTTAATTCAACGGAATGGGAAAACTTTAACTTTACAAAGGGGCCGTTCATGAATATTTCTAATTATTTCCTTTTCCACCAGAACGAAAAATTCATTAATGTTTTTACAGTGGGAGAAGAAATTGTACAGAGGAACAAAAAGAATTATACACGTGCGTTGCAAATTGGTAGGATTTGTATTTACATATCTGTGAAATTTTTGAAAGCGATGGTTTGAAGAATACTTGAAAGCATGATTGGCAAATTAATAAATAACTTCAAAATAAAACCGTTTAAAAGCCTTGTTTGAAAAGGGAAATGTCTTACTTATTAACATATACAGGGTGATAGCCTAATTTACTAAAACACATGACATAGTTAAAATAAAAAAAATTATATTATTAAACATAGTAATATAAAAATATTACAAATTATATGATTATAATTTTTTTAAGTTTTAAACATTTCAACTTTTTAAAAAAAATATACATGACTATCATTAAATAAATCTATATTCAGTCTATTTCCTGTTCGCTGAATTCTATTTTTTGTAAGAATGGAGTTATTAGTGGAGCAGTGAGAGACATTGAATAATGATAAATTACTATTTTTGTATCTAGGGATATTGAACCTTATATCCGAAAGACTTGAGGTCAAGTTTAAAAAAAATATAAAGAAAAACACAGTTAAACTTAGTTCTTCTTGCCTCTAGAGTAACAGAAATTATTAGATCACTAGTTGCGTTCAACCAGTTAATAATATACCTAAGGAAGTATTGAACCGTTTCGATACTGTTGAGTTGAGAGAATAGTGAGTAGATCAGACAATAAAAGAAATATCTAGTATTGGTCGAACAACATTTTTAAAAGATTTTGAATAACGAATTAAAAACCCAAGTGTTTTTAGAGTTTTAGGGCAAATTTTTGATACATGGTATCTGAAGGAATGTGAATACTTAAATCTTTATTTATATAAAATTTAGTAAAAAGTTTCATTATAAATAGTGTAGCCGAAGTTTTAAGTCAATCTGGTAATTTAAAAAAGAAATATGATTGCATTTAGAGATATTAAGCGAAAGATCATTTAAAGGACACCATGTATGAAGAGAAGTAAGGGTGACCTGAAGACTTAATCCGATCATGATTTAATAGTCTAAGATAAGAGAAGAGATAAAATTTCATATCAGGAAAAGCAGTTGAAATATCGTTAACAAAGAGATGAAACAAAAGTGGACCAAGAAGAGAGCCTTGAGGTATACCTGAATAAGCATGAAGTTTGATTGTCTTTGCCTAATTGTAACGATTTAATACCTGTTATTTACATGCCAACAGATTTCCACCAATACCATAAAATTTAAGTATAAATACAATCATAACAGTGGACTTACAAACAGAAATACCTACAACAAAAGAAAAATCTAATAAAATAGACCATCCCACAGCAAGTTTTCAATAATGCAATATACAAAATCCGGTTTGCTGCTTTTTTCATCTCTAGATCTCATAAATGATTAAGAACATTAGTAATATGTATACGTCCGTGTTTAAGTGCTCTAATTAAATGTAGGCTATTTTTTACGAACAATGCCTTAATAAGCAATGATTTTTCAATGAAAAGAAAAATGTGTATATTGTAACTGTAAAGAACTTTGGTAAAAAGAGATCTGAATTTTGTGTAGAAAAGAAAAGAACGAAATTAATAAGAAAACGAAGCTTGAATGTTCGTTCAGATGACAAATGATCTGATCTTACCCAGGAACCAATTCATTAGTGATGTGATGACAGCAAAAGGCCATTGTGGGACTTGGAATGGAAACCTGCGAGGCTACACCATTGAATCGTGGCTTTCAATTTGACCAGAGCTCCTTTTGTAGTATAAACCGAAGCAATGGTGATGAGCCATCGATTCTGCGTGAATCATTAAGAAAGATAAGAAAATCAAAGCATTGTTTTCTTTTTTTTCAATCGGTCTCAAATAGAAAAATAATGTAATGCTAGTTCATCATATCGCACCAAGTATGCACCAATTGCAGGGTCAAACACTTGAACGTATGTGCTAACCAAAGATATTTGTAGTCGCACTTTAAAATCTTGCGATCAGCAAAACAAAACATAACAATTATGCCTTACGTAGTCAGAATGTGAATAAATGCAAGCAGTGTGTTTTCTTTCGATTCGGATCAACATTCATAGGGGGTTAAAGCACATCTCGAGCTTTGTAAACTAGCTTAGGAAAGAAAAAATATCCAGATTAAAAATAGAGTTGTATCAAATTTTTTCCTATAGGTCTAGTTTCTATAAAAAATCAAGAACAATTTTTTCGTCGAGAGAAAAACAGTAATAATTGGCTACGGATAAATTCCTGCGTTAATCAGAACCTTAAACAGTAATATGTCTAAAATAAAGTTTTGACCAAGAGATTTCACAAGACTTTTTCAGCTGGAGTCTGCGGTCGATTTCTGGATCGATTTTGGTTTAACTCACACAATTAAATCCAGTAGGATTGTGCAATTTATGCCCTATGTCGGATATTACAAAATAAGGGGTTACGAGGGTGTATGACTTCGAAGATAATTGGCCACAAATGTGGCTGTATTAGTTTCACCTTTACCGTGGTAATGTGTGGCGTGGATGCCAAAGGAATTCCTCGCCCCGAGGTTCCCGAGGAGTCGAACATCCCAGGAGCGATAATTGTCACTGAAGCGACTATACGTGTATATACTTCAAGAAAATACTTGGGCTACGGATAAATTCCTGCGTTAATCAGAGCCTTAAAGTAGAGCCTCGTAACCTTTACAAATCTAACAAATAGCTTGGCAATCTGATCTGGATAGAAAATAGCAAATCCTTTTTCGCGATGGTTGCTTTGTCGTTGGGAGAAGGCTGGGTTGATACAAAAGCTTAGGACACATTTATTTCCACACCGGTAACGGACAATCTAACCAGAGAACATTAGAATTACGCAATAGGTAACGCGGAAAATCCATTCTGGACGGACAGTATTGTTTCGAAATCGCTTCAATTGCCCAAGGGATATTCTATTCCCGAAAGTGACTTGATGCTCAATTTTACAATTTTAGAGCCAATAGGCTAAGAATTCGATAAATTCAATGGGCTACTTTCACTAGCGTCTATTATTATCCAAAATCGCATCTATCGCTGAAAGTCCGATGATAGTTTATAAAAAAACCCACTTTCAAAATACTTGCTAAAAATATAGACGTTTTAAAATCTTCTATATTGCACAGCATAATAAACAATATCTTTCCTCAAAGAATTTGTTCAAAATTATACCAGCGTCAAGGCCATTATGTAATTAAATTACATCTGCTTAACATGATACTTTTAATTGATCCAATTTTCGTGTAAAACGAGGTTGAGAACGGCCACAAAGAAAAAAGTTGATTAAAGGAATTTAACACTGTAAAGTAACTTCAAACTCTTGTTGAAATGTGATGCGAACCGCTCCCCCCGCAACACTGTCAAAGGGGGATCGGCTACTTTCGCTCCATGATTATTTTATGAGTTGCTTCTAACCAACTAAGCATGTATACTGTATTCTATATCCCTATTTCTTATTTTGTATGAATTTAAAATTTGGTCAAGAAAGTTATAGTTGAATAACAAACAACGTAGTTACTAAGATCGTTTTGGTCTGCCTGTCCTCCCTGT